CAAAAGTTCTCGGGGGGTTTAGGTTACCACCCTCCCCCTGACATTTTTGGAGACTATAAAAGTATTGGTCTGAGGCTCTTCAAACTTTTTGAGTTTTCTAACTAACACATGCCCATCACTTTTGGCTCAAAGTGGGGATTTTATACCTACTGCCTGAGTCTTCAGGCACATTGCCTGAATGCCTTATCTTACCTTTACCTGACTAAATCTATATTTAGACCTACCTCCGGTCATTGGATTTTGACTTCTTACAACTCTTTGGAAAGCCTTTAACAAAAGAAAGCCGATTTCACAACTTTTGCGAAGAAGTTCTGCAAATATTTTTGCATATTTAAATTTGCCGAGGCAATGGCTTTTAAAAACTTAATTCAGGATTAAAATTTTTAAAAAAATCCACTACACTGCAAAATTTCTGTATTTTATGTTCATTGAACTGTTAAAAATCAAAATTTGAGCCTGAAAGCCATCTCCATTTTTAGAAAAAGGTGTCTTCAAAGTTCACCTTGTCTAAAACATTTAAATCTTTTTCTCTCTGACTGCATAACATAATCAAAACGCGTATTGTATGTTTGTTTTACCTTGAAATTTAATTTTATTGGTCAAACAGGTCCAGATAGCATCACTTGAACTATACAGGATGCAATACGCGTACTGTATGTTTATATAACACAAATGCGTATTTCCTACAGATGGCAGCAAGGGGAGAAAGGAAAATAGAAAGTAATCAATTTGCTATAGATGTCTCTCCTTGCACTTTATCTCAGAGGGACAAAAATTAGCTGTCTGCTACAAGCAATTTAGGAAGGAGGTTTCTACCTGCCTGCATATCTATATATATATTATCTTTGATAATAACTGTATTTTAAAATTTGTGAAACTCAGTTTATTTTTTCAATATTTAACAAATAAAATACAAAATCTGCACAATCCAGTTTACCAGATACAAATTTTTCCTAAACAAATTAATAATGAAATATTTTCAAATTTTAAATGCTTTTTTAAATTTACCTTCTTTACATTTTTCCGAATCCAAATTTAGCTTTTCCAAGAACTCTGAGTTTAGCTTTTGCTTTCGCTCTTCCCAGCTTTGCTGCCTTCCTATTTCCTTGCTTACCCTTTCCTTTCCCTCTGTTTACTTTTCCAATCTTTCCATTTCTTGACTTGGCTTTCCCAACCTTTCCAGGAAACCTGTTTGTATCTAAATCATTAAAATCATTATCTGTGACCACGTAATCATCGTGAAAGGATGAATCTTCGTCTGCTTCCTCATTATCGTATACTTCAGCTAAATCATCTGTGGTTAGGTCTTCATTTGAAATAAGATCGGCAGAACCTTCTATTTCCAAATCGTTTGCGTTGTTTCTCGACTCCGAATTGATTTCAGTCTCCTCAAATTCTTCATTACTCCAATATTGGTCATTTGATAAACTTCTAGAACCTTCTCTTGGCATAGATCTTGAGACTGGTTTATCTGGACTAAGCTTTACAATAGTATTTCCAGTTTGGATTCCTAAAACTTCAGGACTGTCTTCAAAATATTCCTCTAATGAGTCAACATTAGAGTTGTCATATTCAGCCCCTCTTCGATAAGGACTGGCTAAAATCCGTCCTCTGGGTTGTATTTTACCTGTCCTGAGACTTCTTCTTTTCCCTCTTCCTTTGCCTAGAGATGGACATAGTTTTAGAACACGATTTTAATACACATTGTTTATTATTTTCTTAATTCTTTTCGGAAATCATAATGGTTTCAATAGATACCATAAACGAATCATTGATTGTTTTGATATAAAACGAAAAACTTATTTTAAAAAAAAATATTAAAAATCCGGTTTTCGTTATAGCTTATGGTATAAGATTTTTTAAATTTTTTGTTTTAACATTTTTATGCACTACAATAATCCCAAAGTTTTCATTCCAGTTGCTTTTTCCAGTTGGTCTTTTCTGTTTAAAATCATTTTCAAAGTGAGACAAAATACAAGTTTGCATTTTTGAAGCGATTTTATATTTAAAACAAAACAAGGAGAACATTTTTTAAGTTCGCCCATCCCTACCTTTTCCAGATCTTCCTTGTCTTCCATTTCTTTTACCCGTTCCTCCTCTCCGCCCTCTGTTTATTATCATTCTCTCCTCTACTGGGGATTGGTTAATTCCAGCATAGTTGGGTTTAACTGTTTCATAATCCCCATATTCATCCTCAATCATGGGATTATATTCATATATGCTGTAAACATCAGGATTGTAATTATCAGGGTTAAATTCCTCAAAAGCGTTTTCATTATCTGAGTAACCATACGCTTTATAATATTCATTTGATTTCAGTTCATCTGTGTTTGAATCATCCCAATTATCGTTTGAAAATAAACTATAGATTTGACTATTTTCCAGAGCAGAGTAAAGTCCTTTAATAAAATCATTTCCATGGATTCCCTCTGCATTTAGACTTTTTTCCTCAGGAGTTGAATTTTTTAAAATATCACAGAAAGATCCGGTCCAGCTCTAGAAAACGGATTAATATAAACAAATATTATAAAATTTTAAATTGGGTTCACATTACGGTTCTAATATAAAGCTTTGCATTGGTCTGGTAAAATTAAACATCGCGACCTTATCTATCATCTACTATCTGCCTGTTAGGTGTACCCATAAACCCGACTTTATAACTAAACCCCAATTTTTTGTGGTAATTCACTTGACCAATGCAATGGTTTATGGCAGGTCGTTAATTGTTGCTGATATAATTATTACTTCAATTTTTTATTTATTTTATTTTGTTTGGGGTTTGATAATGACATTTAACTCCCTAGAGTCATTTAAATGACATAATGTCTTAGCTGTATCATTATCATTATTATATTATCATTATTTTTATCATTATATTAATTATAATTGTACCTATTTTTCCATTATACCTAGCTATTTACAGCCATAAAGGTACTAACGGTCGAATACATTCATGCTTATTTGTTTTGCCATTAAATACATGCAAGGATCAAAACTAGAACGCATCATATCGATATCCGCTGTGACAAGTTTCAAATTTAATGATAATTTGCTTGATCCCTCAATTTATATATATCACTCCAATTAGTGTTAATCGTTTTGGATCGTTTTATTCCAAAGGTTTGAAACCTGGATTATTTCGAAGCTTGGTTTGATTGAACTTTGCAATATCTGGGGAAACGATCCAAAAACGATCATTAGCATACGTTCGCTTTCGCCTCGGTTTGGATCGTTTTTGGTCTTTTTTCTTTCTATATTGCATTATGCCAAATTTGGACCCTGATAGAAAATAAAGGCAAAATGCGACCAAAAAATGGACCAACCGAAGGCACATTACTGCTTGCTTCCCTCCACGAGATTCAAAAGAAATAATCTTAGGTTTTCGGACGACTAAAGCTATAGATTTGATCCCCGGATTGACAACATCAAAAGTTTTAACCTCTGTGTACCTGCAATATCCCCTATCCGGATGGCAACCTGGACTACAGATTGGAGTATCACAATAATATCCTGTCCAACCTAATCAACGATTATCGAAAAATATTTCAAATTCAAATTCTTCCCCCGCTCTTCCCTCCATCCTTAAGTTTTATTTATACAGGGTTACTCACAAAGCATGAGATTTCAGAGACGACTCTATGGAATTTACACAATCTGTCTCATAATATTCATTGTGCCCAGCAACTGTTAACTTGTTTAGATCTTTAGCAAATCAACAAACAATTCATTAAACGACTATAATCAAGGTGGACATTTTTATTAAATCTTGGAATTATCATATTTAAAGAGTTTCAGGTCGTCTTTACAGTTTGTGGGTAATCCTGTATACATATTAGTCAACAATAAAATACTTAAAATCATTGAAATACTTAAAATTGCATTGTCTAATTAAACCTAAAATAGAAGGTAAATATCATGGATTTTAAAGTTTTTATTCGTTAAATATGTTGTAAGAGGTTACGATGTTTACCTTTATATTTCAAATATCTTTAAGACGGGGACGGGAAGGAACGGGCGGACGCAGTCTCAAGCTATGATTAAAAAAAATAGAACACCTGGATTGCATATGCAGTCCCCTGGACCTTCACAAGTCCCGTGTAAACATTCTGAATAAATAATTTATATAAATCTGAGCTTTTAATGAATATAACTATATAATCTAAATTAATCATTTTATTCATTTATTCATCTGATTTCTGAGATGTTTTAATATAAATCAATTTAACTTTGTTATAAATTTTGAATTTTTATTTTATTTTACTTAATTATTGAGATCAAAATTAAGTGTTTATAAATCTTTCAAGCATATACTAGTTTTACAATGTTCAATTTTATCATTTGTAAAAACAAATTTATCTGTATTAGATGTAAACTCTGTTTAGTATTATAATCATTAGTATACATATCATATGCTACGTGTACAGAAATGTTGTACAGGGTGCAGTTGTGCACTCAGTGCGTAGGTCTCATGAAATAGACGCGAATATTTAAGGTTATTTAAGGATCCCTTGAATAGGAAATGCAAAATCTTTAAAAATAGACAATATTCAAAAACGTTATGTTTTATGTTTAAAATTTAAAAGTTGTAAAACTTAACCCTTGAATGCAAGTGGCCAGTGTCAGTCAAAAAACATTGCATGGAACCGTAGCATGGCGTGCCGGGACACTATGGCCTGCTCAGCCTATCCAGGTAGAGTGTATGAGCAGTCAGTGTAGTCTTTGGTACTTCATTTGAATAAGAAATATTTGTCTGATGTACAATGACCGCGTTTACAATAACCTATTCTAAATATTTCTTATACTAATGGAGTACCCGTCTGCAAAGCATGTATAATCATAATCATATGGCAGGGTGGGCCGCGTCAGTTGTATCTCCCTTCTATCTCATACTCCTTGATCTCATCCCATACTATCATGTGTAGATAAATTATGTACCCATGGTGCAGTTGAACACTCTGTACGTACTACGTAGATCTCATCCCATTCTATCATATGTACATAAATTACGTACCTGGTGCAGGTGTACACTCTTTACATAGGTCACCTCCCATACTATCATGAGTACATGTACATTCTCCAGGTTTCTAAAAAAATATTCAGTAAGATGCAAAAAAGGTAGAAGGGCATGAGAAGATACCGGGGCGGCGAAGGGCGTTAAGTCAAATGCTCTAAACTCCCCAATGAGGCTTTTGAAGTATGCTGTGCCGAATCTATGTAAGAAAGTCCCGGGAAAAAAAGTTTCTGGAAAAAAAACTTGGAAATAAAAACTTTGGAAAAAAAGTCCGAATTTTCTCAAGTCCTTGTAAAAAATGTCACTGGAAATAAAGTCCTGTGTTTTGTATTCCTAGCTGGGACTTTTATTCCCTAAAATAGTATGGGGGCTGCCAATAAAGTCTCAGGAAAAAAAGTCCTGAAGAAAATAAATTCGAATAAAAAAGTCCTAAGTCTCGGGAAATTTGAAAAGTTGTGTATAAAATCCCCCGTGCAAGTGTACTATGTACATCATACACAGGGCTAATTTTATATTCTTAAGTAATATGAAAAAGAAAATGCTAACTAAACTCGTGATAAATGTATACAAGTGTAATAAATATATTTTACATTTCTTTTTTGAAACTTATTTTTTCAAAAAAAGACTTTTTCCAGGTGTAATTTGGAAAATGAGGTTAAGTTTGAGAAGTTTTCATAAAAAGGACTTTTTTCCATATTGAATATAGCCTGGGGTGTTTAAATATCAAGCCCCTGAAACCCTGCCATTATTGATAGGATGATTACAACCAGGACTTTTTTCCAATGTGAATCATGCATTTTCACTTGTTAGAGGACTTTTTTCCGGGGAACTTTTTTCCGAGGAACTTTTTTGTATAAAATCATAATAGAGTCAGAAAAAAAGTCCTAGAAAATAAAGTCTCGAATTGGTAGGACTTTATTTCCGGAGACTTTTTAATAAAAGGACTTTTTTCCACAGGACTTTTTTAGTGTGAAATTTTAGAACTTTTTTTCCGGAAACTTTATTTCCAAGGACTTTTTTGGCGGTTACCGCTGTGCCCCCCCCCTTTCCCCGAAAGAGGAAAATGAAATATCTTTAGCGTCCAAAAATTGTATAACTTTACAATTAATTTTCAGACTTTTTTGTTCACAATATGCAATAACAGTTCAACAACAGTTTAATAAGATAATACAATTGATGGTTTCTCTGAACTCAATCTTCACTTTAAAATGTCATAAAAAAAGATTTTTTGATAACCCAGCTGCTTTCAAGATTTTCCTCAAGGCCATGTTGAACTAGATAAGCAAAAAAGTTTTTAGTTACCTCACAAGAACCAAATATTGGGTGGCAGCCATCTTTACATATTGGTTCTGTACAGGTTTCTCCCTAAACATTTTCCCTCAGATAAATTTAAAGGGAGTGCTTGCAAAAATTAAAAGAGGTTAAAAGGATTAATCAGAATTTAATTCAATATCAATCTTGATTCCTTTTGATGTTTTTGTCAAGAAAAATTGTTCAAAATCATTGAGTTTCTGGGAACAAAGAAATCCAGTATTTTCAGTATAAAAGAAAAACTTGAATCATACAAAATGTTAAGGTGATGAAATAGTAAGCGATCTTTTTAGATAAAATAATGACTTTCACTGATATTTCGGTGATATTACAAATTTACAATACAAAGTATTTTAATAACATTGAAAACTTTCTTGTCCGTTACCACTTCTTTGATTTTTCATAATTATGTTAATTCTTTGATGATAAATCGAATTAGGCTACGCGCTAAGTTAACTTTTATATAATGTTGTTCAGGATTATCCTCGAGTAGTAAGTATATATATAATGTTGTTCAGGATTATCCTCGAGTAGTAAGTATATATATAATGATGTTCAGGATTATCCTCGAGTAGTAAGTATATATATAATGTTGTTCAGGATTATCCTCGATTAGTAAGTATATATATAATGTTGTTCAGGATTATCCTCGAGTAGTAAGTATATATATAATGTTGTTCAGGATTATCCTCGAGCAGTAAGACTGCCTGAAACACCTTAGTTTTGAAGATCTCACAGTTGATTTTCGTCTAGGGTTTTAATATGGTCTTTTATATAGATGTGTTAAATAATTTCGCAAAACAGCGAAATGGGTAGAGCTACGAGGAACCAATAAACATGTAAGAATCAAAATGATAGAATCAGTGAATCAGTCTACTCTGAAGTCTTGTCATGAGGGTAACCCTGTCTTTATATATATTAAAGAGCCTTCAAGTTCAACTGTCTCACACTAATCTAAGCCAGTGGGGTAGGTCAAATAGGCCAATAAGGTACTGTAAAAAGTCAGGCCGCGCCATCAAAGTTAAAACCGGGCCAACATAGGATAATGTCAGACCAGTACATGCCGCGCATCACTAAGGCCGGTACTAGGAGTCAATCCGGTCACGAATTCAAATTGACCCTAGACCACTGGGCCGTGGTCTGGAAATACCAAGTTAAAATCTAATTTTGATGGGTCAACAGGATATTTAAAAATAAGAGCTTGATGGTATATGATGGTACATTAAATAGGTTTAATCTGTATTACTTGACCTGCCATCCTTCAATACATTCGCAAGTGGGACCAACTCCATTTATACAATCTAGATTTAAATAAAATCCAATTTAGAAAAACTTTTGCAATGAACATAATCGTAGTTAGGTGCAGTATTTTTCAATGTAAACTTTACCATTCTAAATGAGTTCTAAAGATATACATAATCTGTATTTAAAAATTTAAAAATACTTTAAACACACGTTTGTTTAATCAGGAACACATCTAAACCAATCTTATTGCCTTTCCGCTAAAGAAGACCATGAAATTCAAAACGATCAATAATTTCTGTCTAAATTAACAAAAAGCAGTTTCGCCAGACAAACTGTGTTTCTTTTAAATTTCATGAATTTTATTGATATTTTCCATACCTCTATCATCTATCTATTAATATAATCTCTGTTTGTCTGTTCGTTAGTCCAGGTAGTATGTAATAATAATTTTTAGAAAAAAAACGATAATTATAAATCTTCGAAATATTCAAAGTTTTAATTTTTTTTAAAAATGAACAGAAAATATTTTTACAATTAAAATCTTTGAAATTTTCTAAAATCCGTTTTTTAGTGAAAAAACCTTTAGACATTCTGGTTTTAGGGAAAACTTTGGCTTAGACGTGTTTCTAATTTTATTTGTATGTTTCATTTGTATTTTTGAATATTAGTTTAGACCTGCATGTTTCCATTCATACTGACAAAGGTCCCCAACATACCAAGAATCACAACTAAACAAAATGTTAAACAAAGGTTTTACTCGAGACCAAATTAAAAAAAAACGTTAATACTATTTGTGTCCATTCATAGTAAATTTTTACTAGCTTTAACTTAACTTAATTTAATGTTTAAATTAGATCCGACATATCTTAATACTTGAAGCTGATCCTAAATGCCAGTTTAGTTTTGAAACTTAAGTTTTGAATTATCTATATGGTTGCCTTGTATTGAATATGCATGCATACCTACATATATCAGGTTCTATACAGTATCCATGTACACATTCTTCTGTACAAACAGGTTCATCACAGTTCTCTCCACTCCAACCTGGATCTGAAGTACAGTTTAGTATAGTTAAACTTGCTGGTTGATCAGAGCCGAAAGCTGTGTAAAAGTAATTTAAGAAAGCTAATATGTAGAGCTTGGTATGTGCAGAAGATTAAATGACAGAAGACACAGAAATCATAAATATAAAAGGTGTTTTCTTAAGCAATATCTATACCAGGAAAGCTCGGTATATACCACCTTGCACCCACATAACTTTATTTACAAAGTGTACTGCATATACTGGGAGGAATCATGGAATGAAAACAAAAACAATGCTGATAATTCTCATCTGTTATAGTAAACTTCATTTACAAACAGACCCCAAGGGTGTAGATTTTCTAAGAGTTTCTGAGAGTAAGAGTTTCGTCTGCTATGTTAACAATTTGTTTGTTTATTTTGACTTCATACGGTTGTACTTAATAAAACAAGAAAATTAAAGTATACAAACAGAGTAAACTTGGCCGTCTTCACAGTTCATCTTGCAGAGACATTATAGACACATCTTCACAACCATTTATCGTTTTTATAAAATACACTCTAGCAGACATAATAATATTATGGCTTTTGAAATCAGGTATTACAATGCTGATTCTTAACAAAGACGATCTCGAATTCGTCACTGAATTACCATGTTTATTGGGACACCCTGTTTGTAAGTCTTCCTATAAAAGATGGAGGGAACATTTTAAAAATGAATATCCAAATGAACATTTCTTAAAGTTTCGCAATAGACAATTTCTTATCATGTTGCTTTTTAATGCGACCTTATACTTATGTATTGTAAACAGTGGCGCAACAAATTAACTGAAGGTATTGACTGTTTGTTTCTTGATTATCCTATTTAAAACAGATACCTGGGCACAATGTTTTCTCATCAAACACTATCATCATAATCCGTTTAACTGTCCTAAACATTTTACAGTTGTTAGAAACCTTAAAATCTAAAACATTAAAAACTCTTTTTCTCTTCGATTACAATTGTAATGTTACATCGTCTATATGCAACATTCCCCCTATCTGAACTTCTGACCTACTAACTTTGCGACCTACTACAATGTCAGACCTACGCCAGCTGTTTATTTTTGTATTATTTGAGGGTTAGGTTAGGTTAAGATAATTTCTGGGCTGAGCGTTGCGGCTAGGACCAGCTAGAGGGCCGAGCGCCGCGGCTAGGACAGGCTAGGGGGCCGGGTGCTGCGGCCAAAAGTCCATAAAGCAGCTGTAAAACCACGTGCTAGTAGGTCGGATGTGTAGCATAGCGGATTTTGCGAAGGTCAGAAGTGGAGTATAGCGGATTTGTGTAGGTCGAAAAATACACCCTCGATTACAATATCTTCTTTTTCCTTTTTTAGGGTCCGGAAATCTGTATAGTTAACCGCCTCATAGAGCACTAATCTTGTTTTTGTGATTTTCTTCAAAGATTAAACTGTTAAGTAAATTTTTGAAACTCAAACAACAAAATATGTATTTTCAATTTCTTTTTTACCTTAAATGTTGTATATTTTCCTTAAAAAAACATAATTACCAATCAAATTGAAATCTATTTAGGCTTTAATCATATCATTCAATTTTTAGCTTTATATTTTTCCTACCACGAGTTTGAAAGATTAGCTTCGACCCTTGTTAGAAGAAGAATGTTTAATAAGAATGCTGCCAAGCACACCATCCTTGCTGGATTCTTCCTTATAGCGTATTTTTTCTTTCTAATGAAACAATAAATGTATAGATACTGGATACTAGATACTAATATTGATTTGAATACTAATTATTATTAATAAGAGAACACGGTTGACTAATAATACACTAAATAATCTAAATATTTTACCAATAGCCCTTTTTTGTAAGAAAGGAATGAGGGAAGGGGTGGGGCACTGGGAATCTTAAGTGCGTTTTGGTGTGCAGCTTTTTTTCTATACATTACTTAACGTTTTTTTTCATTTATTTGAGTCAGATTTGGAATAAACCAACTGAACAATTGAACATTTAAAGTCCATTTATTAATTTTTTAAATCATTGAATCATAGTATAATTTGTTAGAATGCTTACTAATCTCAAACACTAATATCTAAGAAATAAAATGTAAACAGTAGAGGGAGTAAATTGATGTCAAAATATAGACAATGCTAGAGTGAACAAAATTTTAATATTTTTCAAGTACAACAATGTTCGATTCGTCAGATATTTTCTAACTGTGATTTGATTGCAAGCTGGGAAATCCCAAAATAAATCCATATTTACAGTAAACAGTACATTATCAAAATAAAATGGAAAAACTGTGATTCTTTTTTATTCTTCTTATATAGTTTCATAGTACTGCAGAAGCTAATCAACTAAATTGAGAGGGAAAACAACATTTATTCATTTAATACAGAGTTCAAAAAATTATATTCTGACCTACTGCCTTACTTGGATCCGTACATTTTGTTTAGCAGTAAAGTTAACCCTAGTTTCAAAGTTTACCAGGATATATGGTTATGGAAAACCTGGTTTCAAGGTATACCAGGATATATGGTTTATGGAAAACCTGGTTTTAAGGTATACCAGGATATGTTGTTTAAGAGAAACCTGGTTTCAAGGTATACCAGGATATGTGGTTTAAGAGAAACCTGGTTTCAAGGTATACAGGATATATGGTTTATGGAACACCTGGTTTCAAGGTGTTACAGGATATATGGTTTATGGAACACCTGGTTTCAAGGTGTTACAGGATATATGGTTTAAGAGAAACCTGGTTTCAAGGTGTTACAGGATATATGGTTTATGCGAGACCTGGTTTCAAGGTGTTACAGGATATATGGTTTATGGGACACCTGGTTTCAAGGTGTTACAGGATATAAGGTTTATGGGAGACCTGGTTTCAAGGTATTCCAGGATGTGCGGTTTTTATGGGACACCTGGTTTTAAGGTATATGTGGTTTATTGGGCACCAGGTTGCAAGAAAAATTTCATTCCCAAGGTTTCATTCTTTAGTTTAAAAAATATGTTTAGTAAATTATTTCTAGGAAATGTTTGAAAGTTTGTATGGAAAATTTGCCAGCTCTGGACTTTTGTTTTTAGTTAATTAGATTTTAAATAATTTAACATTGTGTTAACTTTGCATAAAGACAAAAAATTTGAAAAATCCGAGTTTGTTAAATTTAACAAAGATTTGCCATTTTATGATAAATACAAAATATTTTCCAATAAGCATAATTCATTCTGTAGTTTTTTCTTTCATCAGCGCAATCTTTCTAACTTTCCGTTCTCTGAACTCATTAAATATTGATTGTTTTATTGAATCTTGTTGTTGTTATTTTAAGTTCTGGTCTAATCTTATTGCTAGAGCGTAAAATATATAGTACGTGCTAAACAACGTCTCAATCGTGTTAAAGGGTTTCACATAATGTCAAGAAGAAAAGTATTTTTTGGTTAATTAAAAAAATACCTTTTTTCTTTATTAACTCTATTCTTATCTGTAAACAAATATTTAATTAAACTCTTTTCAACCATTTTTTTCTAAATAATCAATTAAACGCTCCTTAAAAATCATCAAACATTCATTAAAATGTTTTCAATCTTTATTAACCCTTACATCAAGTGATTGTCAAACTTCAATCAACCACCTTTCAAAATTTACCAATCTTCATTAACACTTGCAAATGTTTTTGCTTTTAATTTGATTAATTTTCGATTTTGACGTTTCTGAATAACGTTTTTTCTGGTTTACATTAGTAATTTGCTTTACCTAAACCAAAATAAAACATTAAACCAATAGAGTTTGAAAATGATAAAAGAATTCTACTGTTTTAAAGATTTTGATTTATAAAACTTTAGAACTGGTAAAAAAATGTAATGGATAATTTTTATCAAAAAAGTACTCCATGGTATCAATCCTGATATTTAATCTTCCAGGGGTGGGACTCAGCTCTAGATATCATTACTGAGGGGGCCAGGGGCTGAGCGCCAATAGTTCCTCACTCAGCTGGTTTCCAACTAGACTATCCGTGCAACATTACATGTCAGCAGTTCTTTTTTTCAGTTCCTTGGTTCACCAATCCACTTTCTGGCTGGTCCATAATATGCTTAAAGGGAGTGACCGGCTATGTAAGGTAGTTGAACTGAGTATGCAGTGTTGTGGAAAACTTCTTTCGGATTCATTTGAGACATACTAAACTTTTTAAAGATCTGTAAATCCTGAGTTTGAGCGCAAATTCGACGTTCAAAACTCCTACTTTGGGGGTGGATACGCTTTCAGAATTAGTTTTTTTAAATTATTAAGTTCGCTTAATCTCAATATTCACTGTGGACCCTTTTGAGTTTCTGATTAATCCTCTTGTTTAGATATCCCTGCTGGATTCAAACCCATGACAATTCTCTCATTAATTAATTAATCAGATTAAAAAGGTGAGATCACGCATTGATCTCAATATCCGCACAAGCAATATCCATATTGTGTTTTTATTTTTTCACTTGGCAGTCCGTATAGAAAGAATTAATAAAATCAACAAAATTTGTAAAAAAAATATTTTTTTAAATATCTTTGCCACGTACTAAAAATGAAAATCAGGATAATGATACAACCCATCCTTGTTACTTTAGAAATCTTAAAAGAATTTATTTTTAGGAAGGGGAGACAAACAGGGTTACTTTCATAGGATAAGACTTCAGAGACCTGTAAATTAGTCTTTCTTCCTTCCTTCAACTGAAAATTTCTTTCGTATAATGCTAAACCATTAAGTATTTAATATATAAACTTTCTTCATAGCAATAGACAAAATTCAATAATTCTATTTACAAATCATAAATGACGCAGGTTTTAGGTCGTTATTGAAGTCTCAGATTTTATGGGTAACCTTGATCAAATATGTTTTAAAATTGAATTTATCCAACAGAAACGTGGATGGAATGAAAGGCGAAGTTGTCAAGTTAGGGATTCAGGTAACAACCCTCAATTCCCTTAAAAATCAGAATAACTAAAAACACATCTGGTTGTCTTTTGAGCATTTTCAATTTAAACTTTTAAGACAAAAAGAGTTCGAATTTTATGAATTTGATATACGTCTCAAATTCGCCAAAAACCAGTTTCAATTGAGCATCGGCTTAAATCTTGAAACATTGAAACATTGTGGAACCAAACATATTTGAGCCGCATCAAATATTTAAAAAAAACCATAACACTTAGAGACATGTACCATTAATGCAAAATCAGCCCCCCACCCTACCCCCTGGATAAGATAGAAAAGTTGGATTTCTGTGCAAAGTATCGAACGGACAACGTCAGCTACGTGCTATGTCAATTTCGACAATTGTGTCCATTAAACCTCATTTAGGTTTCCAATTGATCAGTGGCCTGTGTCGTTCATCAGTTCAACTCCCTGCGACAGTTCATCTTCCCCGGCCATGTTTTAACAATTTTGAAACAATTGTTTACATCAAAATCACTGTTATGACACATTAAAATTTATCTGTGTTTTAAACAAATATTGATTAGTTTGATTAATTGAACGGAAAACGACATTTGAGAGAAAATAATTCTTTTTGCGTTTCCCCCATGAATAATACATTTCAGAAATTAATGTTCATTTATTTATGAAAACTAATAGTTGCATATTTTTTGAATTTCAAATGATGAAACTTTAAGGGGAGATGAACTGTCGCAAATGAGTTGAAATAATTCATGGGCATATTAATGGTACCTGCAAAGAATAAGACGATATAAACCTCTTCAAATATGACGAACCATGACTTTGTCAAATTAGAAACTTGTAATTAATTAGCATCTTTAGCGGTAAGATTAAATGATCTCCCAAGGATGGAAACAAGTTTACAGCTGTCGGTAGGGAGTTAATATTGAATGTCAGAAAAGTGAACAATATTCCAAATAATTGTCTCTAAGTTCCATCCTATGAGATAAACCGTACAACATCGAAGTCTTAACTTCATGTGATAACATTGAAGTCACCTTTCCTTTTTTACTCCAAAAACCTTTGGTTGACAACAAATAAACAAATAAATAATTGATTTAACTTTTATAACGAGGTTTCTCTGGATAATTTTATTCTTAACATTAAAAAAATGTTAGTTATATTTTTTTCTATGGTTTTGCTAACTTTTTGCGCTATCAAACGATATTTTACAAAACGCTTTATTAAAAAGATCAATTAAAACGATTAAAAGGGAGAGACTGCTCATGTAACATATTTGAACTGAGAATGCAGTATTCTGGAGAAAAATTTTAGAATTCCTTTGATACCAATGAGACATTTGTACGGTGTACAATTTTTAATTAAGAGCGTAACGTCGTTTGTAATAAATAACCAGAGCTGGGAACTTTTGAATGGTGGATATCGGGATTAACGCTTAATCCACTCTTTTCTTGATCTCCAGATTAACATAATCTTGCAAGATTATCTTAAAAGTGTATGAAAAACGATAAAATTCATATTAATATTTTTTCATCTGAGAAACTGTAGCAGCCAATCAGAGAAAAGCGGGCAACCAATGAGAGAACAGAAATATTCTCATTGGAGAAAAAAAACTAACGGATATACAAGGAGAGAGAAAAAAAGTGGATTAAGGACTAAAATGAAAAGTTTCCACAGTGGATATTTGGAACAGGAAGTCAGGATTAAAGTTTATCCATTCTAAAGTTTTCAGCTCAGTTTCCATAAATAAAGATACAGGGTGTCCCAAAAAAACATGGGAATTCAGTGACGATTTCGATATCGTCTTTGTTATGAATTAGCTTTGTAATACCTAATTTCAAAAGCCTTAATATTATTATGTCTGCTATAGAGTTTATTTTATGAAAAGGGTAAAAGACTGTAAAGATGTGTATATAATGTCTCCGCAAGATGAACAGTGAAGATGGACAAGTTTACTCTGTTTTTATACTGCAATTTTCTTGTTTCACTAAGTACAACCGTATGCAGTGAAAACATAAACAAACAAAATGTGAACATAGCAGACGAAACCCTTACGGATTACAGCTTTTTCAGTAGGTATCGCTACACTAAATCAAAGAATTATTTAAAAAGACGATATCTAATTCGTCACTGAATTCCCATGTTTATTGGGACACCCTGTAGATTGCGCATAACTATAAGACGACATTTTTTAACTTAAACCAGATATAAATTTATTTAATTTTAGTCCTTCTTAAACTCTTGTCACTATGAAATATTGCTCCTTAAAATATTGTTCTTTAAATAATTCCATTCCTGGAGTTACTTAATAATTTTTTCCTTTTTGAGTTTTGGAGAGCGGAAAACATTATTTTGATTCTCTCACTTGAAACAGTTTTTAGAACAATATCTGGTCAGCTCATATTTTCCGAATGTCTCCGTAGTGTTTTTAGAACAATATCTGGTCAGCTCATATTTTCCGAATATCTCCGTAGTGTTTTAGAACAATATCTGGTCAGCTCATATTTTCCGAATGTCTCCGTAGTGTTTTTAGAACAATATCTGGTCAGCTCATATTTTCCGAATGTCTCCGTAGTGGTTTAGAACAATATCTGGTCAGCTCATATTTTCCAAATATCTCCGTAGTGTTTAGAACAATATCTGGTCAGCTCATATTTTCCTAATATCTCCGTAGTGTTTTTAGAACAATATCTGGTCAGCTCATATTTTCCGAATATCTCCGTAGTGTTTTGATTGTTTGGAATTTGGAAAAAAATATGAGCTATGAAAAGAAGTTGACTGCCTGTCCTTAGCACCCAGAATGCATGATTAATTCCCTTGCCGTTGAGGAGTTCTGATTACTTGCAACACAGAAATACAATGTTGGCGAAGCAGCCATATTTTTATCTCCTTAGCGTTTTGCAACCCTGCCAAATCTGAGGCACCAACGGCAACCAGATCCTTCGTCTTAAAATCTGTGCCAAATCTGCGGCACGGCGGCCAAACCTGTTGCACGCCATCCAAGTATGTGGCACGTCGGCCAAATCTGTGGCACATCAGCCGAATCAGTGGCACAGCGGCCAAATTTGTTGCAAGGCGGCAAAATCTGTGGCAAGGCGGTCAAGTCTGTGGCACGGCAGCCAAGTCTGTGGCACGGTGGCCAAATCAGTTGCACGACAGCCAAAAGCTTGTGCCCCCAACTAAAGCTGAACTTACTACTGTCTTAGGAATATTAAACTAATGAAATTGAAAAATAATAAAAAGCCTTCCTCAATTTTTCATTATTCTTCTGAACTGCAGGGTCAGCCATAACATTTCCTAAAAATAATGTTCTACGTGAAGAATCTGTAAACACTTAATCCGGGAGGAATTATTAAATGCAGTATATTCAATACATTGTAAAAAAGACCAAACCGTCATTTATTAGTAATTTTTCCAACTCAAGTTAAATATATACGTTTTGGCTTTCTAACAACATCAAATCCACTTCAGTTAAATATATACGTTTTAGTTTTCTAACAACATCAAATCCACTTCAGTTAAATATATACGTTTTAGCTTTCTAACAACATCAAATCCACTTCAGTTAAATATATACGTTTTAGCTTTCTAACAACATCAAATCCACTTCAGTTTTGCTTTAATGTCGTTTTCTGGTTGTCACTGTAATCTTAAAAATCAAAATAAAAGGGCTAGAAGGTGCCTGCTCTCTCTTCTTGCGCTCCTAATTTTACCAGAGGGGACGTTCCCCTATTTTCCAAGTGGATGGACGTCACCTCTTTACCCCCCCCCCCATAAGCCGCCTCTAGGTGTTCCGTGGACCATCTTTAATCAAAGTTTGTCAATTAAACATATTAAACGAACCGATTTTGTTGTCCTACATCTGTTGTTGTTAAAAAGCAAACTGGTGGAGAATGTAATTTGGAAATGTGATAACGTTTTCTGATTCTTGTGGACCCACTTCAATGTAAAAAAACTTCGATGTTAAAGAAAAACTTTAATTCAAATAAGTTGATAACCATTTCTAAACAGATCTATTAATTTTAAGATGGAGTTAAACGCATTTAAACCGTTTTTTAATCGGTCTCTCATTGATGAACGTTAGAAAATGTTATAAAAAACATGCTTGTAAATTGTAAATTTATAAATTGACCAATGAATAACCGGAAAATTAAAAATATATATAATGTTTAGGAGATTAGGTTTAGTAGCTTAACTCCCCCTTATTCATAAGTTGACAACTTTAAGGTCTATAAACATTAACAATCACCTTTGTCCTAATATGTATTAATAAAAACTCTTTTTTAAAAAGTATTTTATTTTCCTAATTCAAATTATTGTCGTTAAATCTAAATATATTTTAAAAATAAATTTATTACTGAAAATGTGAAAACTAATTATAAAATAACTGTCTTGTTTCATCCATTTATCTGGCTCAGCCCAGAGCTCTCAAATCTTCGCCTGAATTAAATTAAACCTTTTCTGGTATATACAATTAATATATATTAATCTATATATAAATTTGGCTTGTCTGGGTGTTTTTTGTGGGACATCTAGGGACCCCAGGGAAGGTTAATTAATGATTGAAATTTTAAATATTTGTCTCCATAAAAATTCGATCTTCATTAAATTTTTTAAAATTTTGAAAATCCACGAAATTTTTTGTGAAAATCCGCGAATTATTTTTGTTTTGTTTTACGATGTACACAAAGAGAACATGTTCACAATTAATTTAAAAGATGGGCGCGAAGCGCCCTCTTATGTCTAAGGCTTGTATATATAAATTTAGTAAGAGCATAAAATATTTTAAAATAGTTTTTTTAAAGATATTTATGATATATAAATTATATATGAATGCATCATTTATAGGCTGTAATATCTGAATGATTTATTTAAAATTTAACTGAATCTATTTACGACCTGAGTGAAAAAATGCAACTCTTTGAATTTGTATGGGTCTTATGCTTTTGGGTATAAGACGTGTTAAACTATTTATTTACATAGAGAGGCCAGGGGTCAATATAATTCCCAAAAAAGCTGATTATCTCGATCCCAAAATAATAAAAAAATTTGCCCCCAATTAAAGAATTTGCCCCCATTTCTTTCAAATTTGTCAATCCCAAATGGGATTGAAAAAGGAATTATATTGACCCCTGAGAGAGGCAAACAAGAAAATTGAAATTAGTAGCCTTTACCTCTTTTAATTTAAGGCGATCACTCCTTTTAAATGTTGGTTTTTAAGAAAAAATGAAGAAAATGATGTACTTTTTCAGTGTTTCTAATCCGCGAAAAAGTTATCATGATGTTTTTATTTAATTCCTACTTAAAATCCTGAAATAAAAGAGTTAAAGATATTTTATGAGTACCTGGGCGGGGTTCCTAAATTTTCCTTTTTTGCCTTTAGATTTTGCTTTAGATTTACCCTTCACCCTCTTCCTTCTCCTTCTTGGTCGTCTCCTAAACCCTCCTAAACCTCCTTGACCATCACCCTGAAGATCAGCAGGTAGATCGTCCAGAGCATTAGGCGTATCAGCAGAATCTTCAGATTCTTCAGATTCTTCACTGTATTCATCTTCTTCTGAATCTGAAGTTACCAACATTGTTGATGTACTTGGTGCCTTTTCTGTTGTTGGTAACGCTGTTGTTGTTGTTGGAGATTTAGTTGTTGGAGATGTAGTTGATGGCTCTGCTATTACCGGTTTTGCTGCCGAGGAAGGTTTTGCAATTTCAGCTTTTGAAGATTGCGCCAAAATAGAGGCAACTAACGCATCCAAGTCTAGATTTGTTTTCTTTATTAACCGTGGTTGTGGCAAATTAGGTTTTAAAGGGAAAGTTAAAGAATTCCTACTCATAGGTTTATCTAAACCTAGGTCACTAGTTTCATTACAATACACTCCGCTCCAGTTCTGAAAAAAATAAAAATTACTATGCGAATTCATTTATAATAATAATAATAATTTTATGATTTCTATTGCTTGATTTAAAAATTAACTTAAAACTGAATATGCTTATAAAATATCAAAGAATTTGAAGAATGCCTGAAATATCCATCAATTACTTATGAAAATATAAAATGGAAAAGCTGCAATGTCTTCTAAATTAATAATCAGATATCAAATTTCAGGGTTAAATGAAAGGTCAAGTTAAATGACAATGACAGTCCCTGAAGAATGTGTAATTAGTAATGATTTAGCATTACCTCATCACATAAACATTGCCAGGGTTTAATACAGAATCCATTTTCACAATTAGGATATGGTACACACACATCACATAGTTCACCCCTGTATCCTACTTTACAAATACATTCACCGGGATTTCTAAAAATAAATTTTTTTCTCCAATTAGTTAGCTCCTGAATATCATATTTATTGGAAAATATTTGAGGATCCTCGTGGTATACTTATGCTCTACTATTCTAAAAAACGATAAAAAGAAAATAATCACATATATTTAATATGGCTTGCTTAGAGATACAGACACTACAGTAAGACCGAAACAGCTCTGTAAAATATATTACAGATGTATCTCAATGATGTATCTTAATCACTATGTGAACAAATATTAAATGTAATTTTTAACAGTCTCTTTTCAGCACTAAAAATCATAATCATGATTTCGGAATTCGCAAACAGTCCCTTTTATATTATCCTGAGCCTACCTACAGTATCCATGAGAACTACATCCATCTTTACAAACTGGGGTGTCACAATACGTTCCAGTCCATCCTACATAGTTCAGAAAATAAATACGTTCCAGTCCAACCTACATAGTTTAGAAAATAAATACGTTCCAGTCCAACCTACATAGTTCAGAAAATAAATACGTTCCAGTCCAACCTACATAGTTCAGAAAATAAATACGTTCCAGTCCAACCTACATAGTTCAGAAAATAAATAATTAACATTATGTCTTGAACCTCTTGGCAAACCTTCTTCTAACGTTAGAAAAGTGGAAGAATATAAAGCACTAAATGTGGAACAAAATAAAGCACTAAATGTGGAAGAAAATAAAGCACTAAATGTGTTGAATTGTTGATTATTTCACAGTCCTTCTCATATTCAATTTTAATAAAATTATTCCAGTTTGATCTTTTCCAATATTCCTGCAATCCCGGGGTTGATCGTTAGGTTCTAAATATTTCTGAATTTGGTTGGAATATTATTTTAAGGGATTTTAAAGATCACATTCTTATCCAGACAAATTCGATCTCACGAAAAGAAAACTCAATAGAATGGAAAGTAGATATTAAAACTCTGGCACTGGCATGATGTGCACTGTTTTCTTCTGGTTTATAAAGTTAGCTGCACCAAACAAAATATTTTTGATAGAATAAAATAACATTTAGATAGAATAATGTCTTAATATTTCCCGGTCAAAAAGCGTTGTTATAATCTCATTAGATTTTTAGAAATGGATCAACATGTTAGAACCAAGTACAGAGTACAGACAGGTTTTACAAACTTTATTGATGAATTAAGGAGAGAACTATCTGAGAAGGGATCTTTTGTGTCGAGTATCTTTAATCTCGATATCCAATGTGGACAGTTTTGAATTTGAGGATAAATGATTGATCCCTCAGTATAAGATATCCCTGCAAGGTAATACAATAATGGGATATCGAAGAGCAGAGGTAAGAGAGTTACAGAGGTCGTTTATCAGCTAAAATATGCGATATTTTCCACAGCATGTTCTATTGTGTACAAGGACTGTACACGACCAATCAGTAAACATCTGTATTCAGGGATATTTAAGGATCCTTTGGATACGAAACACAAAACCTTCAAAAAAAGACTGAATTCATAAATGCCATGTTTCTTGTTTAAAATTGGAGTATGTCTTTCAAAGTAGTAAAACTTAACCCCCAAAATGGGTATTATATTCAACAAGTGGCCGTGAAATGGCACTCTAAAAACCTATCGTAAAAACGTAGCATGTCGTGCCGGGTCAACTTAGGCCTACGTAGCCCACCCTGTGAAAAGATAAGGTGTAGTCTGTGTCGAAGAGGAACTAAATTAATCCATAGGTCTGCACAGGATGGATATCAATGCTTTATCCCGAAATTCACAACACAACTTCTTAACGTATATAAAAAATGTTCAACAATGAGAACAGATTTTATCCAGACAATTCAAAATATGCATTTTTAGAAATTTGATCAAGTGATTTTCTACTCTACTTGCAATATTATTATTTAATGGGATTATTCTTAAGACAAATAGGAAAATTGTCACTTTATATCTTTAAATGGACAGTAAGCGTAATTTTAATTGACTCTTCATGTAAAGAAGGCTGAAGGTAGTTCCTGATTCACAACGGTACCCTTACATCCTTTGTATGTTCGTCGAGTATGTGTGTGTAAACGTATCGAAATCTGCTTGTATGATTAGCTGCACATTAAGGTGTACGCTGCGTTGAAAATCTGGCTTTGGCCTCTTTGTAGAGTCAATTGTAATTACGTTTACAAGTCCTTTAATATACTTTCCTTCTTCACAGATGCATTCATTTGGAAGATTGCAGTAACCATGATCACATCCTGAGATACAACAGATTAGTTGCCAACAACTTTTGATATCTTTGAAATATAATGTCTTAGACATTTGATGTTTTAAAACTAAGTAAGATTTTTGAACATCAAAGTGTTGCACATTTAGGTTGTAAATATATAGGAATAAGAAAATTAGGATTTAAAGTAAATATTCAAAATTAAATACAATATATTCCCTTGCCTTGCATTCTTGTACATTGAGTACAGTTTTCTCCTTGATATCCACTTCCAGGCAGGCAAACACATTCTCCAGGTACCTAGAGATACATTGAGTACAGTTTTCCCCCTGATATCCACTTCCAGGCAGACAAACACATTCTCCAGGTACCTAGAGATACATTGAGTACAATTTTCCCCCTGATATCCACTTCCAGGCAGACAAACACATTCTCCAGGTACCTAGAGTTACATTTAGTACAATTTTTCCCCTGATATCCACTTCCAGGCAGACAAACACATTCTCCTGGTACCTAGAGATACATTGAGTACAGTTTTCTCCTTGATATCCACTTCCAGGCAAACAAACACATTCTCCTGCTACCTAGAGATACATTGAGTACAGTTTTCCCCCTGATATCCACTTCCAGGCAGATAAACACATTCTCCAGGTACCTAGAGATACATTGAGTACAGTTTTCCCCCTGATATCCACTTCCAGGCAGACAAACACATTCTCCAGGTACCTAGAGATACATTGAGTACAGTTTTCCCCTTGATATCCCCTTCCAGGCAGACAAACACATTCTCCAGGTACCTAGAGAGAACACCATGGACCCTGTAAACTCTGGTTCATTTCAAGTACCGGGTCGACTTGAAGCCAGTTAGAGTAAGCTATACAGTACAATTACAGACTATGTTTGGCAAACCGGGACTGTACGCCAAATAAATGATCCCCTTCTAGGGAAGTTTATATGCAGAGGTCAAGACACTTCAGCGCTTTGACGATTCACTTCCCAATCCACAGTATAATCTTATAGATATCTCAAAGATGGACAACTTGATTCAAAAGTTTTTTACAGTGGACCTCGAGTTCAGTTACAAAAGATAAGCTCAATCCCACGCCAAAATGTTGCCATTGGTTTATAAAAATATGGGTTTCTTTCAGAATAAAATGTATGCTTTTATAAGACACAAACATAGAGTAAAATTCATAGAATTTAAATTAAGTATGTACTATGTACGACCTAAGCTGTTGAAAGATAAAAACCCAGTCTTCAATGAGCAAAGTTAGTCGGAAAAAATGTTTTTGCAAATTGATTCGATAAAATTGAAATAGCACATGCCAATTCAAAATTGCATAAACCAAATAACTGGAGTTTGAAGAAATGCAAAAACTTGTTTTGGGAGGAAAATTTGTAAATTGAAACATGCATGAAAAATCAAAAATATTACAATTTTTTTTGGAGGGGGGGGGCAAATTCGAGCGAAAAAATTATACCTTACAGCTGCCAAATTGTTTACTGCATCCATCCCTACAAGCAGGGGTGGCGCAATATCGTCCCTAACAATAATGTAATAAATAAAAACATTAATTCTGTTGTTTATTATTTTACTCACTGTCCAACCAGGATAGCAGTTACAGTCCAGATATTCAATACAGTTTCCATTATGACATTCTGGTCAAAGAATTTAGGTTTTTTAATCTTTAATTCCAGTTTGATGCTATAATGAGACCAAGATTTTTAAAAACGTATGTAATTTTTTTGAATAAAATCCGGATTTGCAATTATTCATAATCATTTTCTGACTTTAAGAATTTTTAAGTTTTAGATAGTTCAAAAAACATTTTCTTTCTCAATAATTTATTTTGATGGTGAGCTTCAGTACATTCAGCTGTCGGCTGTGGGGAAAATATTGCTGTAGACGAGGCCGTATTCTGAAGTACACAAGCAGCAACTCCCCATTTATGCACATGCGGTGCAACTCCAATGGGTAACCTTTAAAATGCCGCAGAAGAGAATTTGGAATTTTGGAATTTACCCAATCAACTTACTTTATCTTTGTCTAGCTATGGCATATACATTTAAAAAAATGCAACGCGTTTGTTTCTAGCTTAAGCTTGAAAGAAGATAAATACTGCTTGATTTTTTCCTAAAAATGTGAACATCTTGGTTTGCCGTAGCTTTTAGGAGAACATCTTTGATCAGTAATGTATGCCACTGAAAACCCAGATATGCACGCTCTCGTGGATAAATCGAGTTACATTTTAAAAATGATTCTTTTAGACTTGAGCGCGTTGCATTTTTTTAATATGTCTAGAGCTTAAAAATGTAAATTGAAGAAGCTGTTAAAAAATTTTAAGACTAGTCTATATCCCTGTCATGCTTAGTTGTGGGCTTGAATTCCAAATTTGTATGCATATTTTGAATGAAGAATCTCTTGAAAGTAAATCCTAAGTTTTCCTGGATGTTTTATACATTCATGGCATCGTTTTCCAATATAACCTATTTCACATCTAAAGTATTTGAGATCAATTGTTCTATTCTTATTTTAGCTCTCCTGCTTTTTCACATACATTTTTAAACGTAAGGATAAAATCTTTGTTAATTCTTTTTTATGGTATTTTCACTATTATCATCTTTCATGGAAAGTACAATCATTGATTAATTACGTAACTTTTATGACGAAATTATAATTTTGAATCTTTAAAAAAAACAAGTTGTGAAGTGTAGAGTAATTAAACTTTACGTTCAACTTTACTTCTAGACATAAAAGAAATTCCGATCTAAAAACAAAAATAAGCCGACAGGACCGGACAGGACAGGTCAGGACAAGACAGAACAGGACAGGATATGACAGGATAGGACAGGATAGGACAGGATAAAACAGGATAGGACAGGATAGGACAGGATAGGACAGGATAAGACAGGATAGGACAGGATAGAACAAGATAGGACAGGAAAGGACAGGATAGGACAGGATAGGACATGATAGGACAGGATAAAACAGGATAGGACAGGATAGGACAGGAAAGGACAGGATAGGAAAGGATATGACAGCCTTGAAAATAAATTCTATCCCATGAGAGAAATCCGCAATTTCTAACAAATCAAGAATTTGTTGTCGGCCATTTTGTATATTAATCGGTGAAGAACACCATTTAATAATACGTTTGAGATTCTTTTGTAACCAATTTTAACTAATGTATTAATAAATAAATGGGTGAGAAATTAATTGAAGGCCCTTCCTTGGTCAGGAAAACGAACCAATCTGGCGTTCGTAGAATCCAATTTGTTGTTCGCGAAGCGCGAAAAAAAATTTTTTGCCCCCCCCTGGCTGTTTTTTGCCCCCCCCCTGGAATTGTTTTGTTCAAAAAGTCAATTAACACCATAAAAATACACCAAAAAGACTACATTTTTGGGTGTTACTAACCTTACAGAGTCTAATAAAGCAAATGATT